TTTAAAAAACGTGTTGCTTTCAATGTAGGTGTTGAGGTGATAATTGTTAAATAAACAATGGTCATGTCCTACATGACAACATAGACTGAAGTTATATATAGCAATGACACGACAATAGAATCCCTAACGATTTGCACCTCTAATTGCATATCTGAAATTTAAAAAAAATAAAAATAAGATACAGAACTAGATGAGATCTCGTTGCGAGCAACGAGTAAGTCTTCTGTCTAATTTTTTGATAAGATGAGGTGTGATTTTTACAAAGATATTCGTTAAATAATAATATAATTACGTAATTATGATAATGATATAAAAATTTCCCTTTTTAGATTTCATTCTGTTATATATATGTTCTGTATATAACATTATCTTGAACATCTTTTGTTCAATAATGCTTACCAAAATGTTTTCCCTTTTCGAGAGATAAAAAGAGTAAAACATTTAACATTCTGGTTCCCTTATGCCCCCTCATTACGTAATATATAATCAGAGTTTAACAATATACAGTTGCAAATCGTAAAGAAAAACATTTTTGTTTCAGTAGTTTATAACAAAATATTTATCCTTAAAGAGTTACAGATGAAAGACTTTTGGCCCCTCTGGGTCCCTAATTTGAAGGGGTCAGCCCCTTTTTCTTCATATCAAATGAAAGATATTTTCTTCAAGAATCATTCAAAAGTTTCTTTTCATTTTCGAACTATGTAGAATGGAAATATTTAGGGGCCAAACCCTTCAAGTCCTTAATGGGGCCATTTTACAAATAATGGAAGAATGAATAGTATTTAGAACATTATTCTGACCATCTTTTGTTCAATGTTGCTTATCAAAATTTTTCCCCTCTTCTAGATATCAAGCTTCAAAGATTTAGAATTCTGGCCCATAATGGGCCCTTATTACGTAATTAATGATTCCAGTTTCAAAATGTATAGTTGCAAATCGTGAAGATAAACATTTTGCTTTAGTAATTTATAACAAAATATTGATTGTTAAAGAGTTACAGATGAAAGACTTTTAGACCCTCTGGTCCCTAATTTAAGGGGCCAGCCCCTTTTTCTTGATATCAAATAAAAGGTCTTGTGATTTTAAAGACTTTTTGTTCAAGAATTATTCAGCAATTTCTTTTCATTTTAGAGATATGCTAAATAGAAATATTTAGGGGCCAGCCCTTTAAGTCCTTAATGGGGCTGTTTTGCTTAAATTGAAATGGTGAATATTGTTTAAAACATAAATCTGAACATCTTTTATTCAATATTGCTTATCAAAATATTCTCTCTTTTTGAGATATTAAGCTTCAAAGATTTAATATTCTGGCCCCTTGTTGCCCTTTATTACGTAATATATAATCACAGTTTTACAATACAGAGTTGCAAATCGTAAAGATAAACATTTTTGTTTCAGTAATGTATAACAAAATATTAATCGTTCAAGAGTTATACATGAAAAACTTTTGGCCCCTCTGAGCCCCTGATTTGAGGGGTCAGTCCCTTTTTCTTGATATCAAATGAAAGCACTTATCATTCTGCACAACTTTTGTTATATATGTTTTAACAAAATATTTACAGGTATAAAGATTTGATAGAAAACTTGTCAAATTATGTGAGATGCTTGTAAGCCTATTTTTCAAGCACAGGCAAACTTTGGCGCCTTTTGCGCTGGAAAGATATGGACGCAAAAAAGCACATCTACAATCCCTCCTCTACCTTCACTGAGAATCTCAACTCAATATCTGAAGTTGTTTTGGAGTGATTACCAGGACAAGCCGACCCTCTGAAAATCAGATCATTTTCCATATCTCACGACTGGAAGTGACGTCATCAATATAAAAAATTTCCAATAAGGTTCAAATCAATATCTATCAGATCTGAAAGTTTCGTGAAAATTGACTGAGCCATTTCTGAGAACTCGCGTGCACAAAATGGGTAAGAAAAAAAAAATAATAATAGAAATAATAGGGAAAAAGAAACCGAAAGAAAACAATAAGGTCTTCCGTTGGAGACGGACGACCTTATTTAAGGATAATTCAGAATATATCACAAAGATTATAATTGTTGACTCATTTATAGGTATTAATATATCTATGTCTTAAGCGACATGCAGTTCTTGCATATAAGCGACGGTAGTTCAAAATGGCTGAATACGCAATTGAAATAAAACAAAAACAAAGATCCTTTTTCATTATGATTTCATTTATGAAACGATTATCTTTTTTTCAACAGGTAGGGTAGATGTATATGACTACAACAGGTAGGGCTGACGTATATGACTCTGAAATTAGAGTAATAGTACTAAACTTTGACTAAGTGGTTACAAAGAGTAATCAATTCAAATGGATTGGGAAAATGGTCCTCGGCACTGAGAAAGTGACCTGGAAAAAAGGGGATTGTATTTTGTTCCGATGTATTAAGCGCATCCCTAATTTTACACAATTTTCTCAAGGAAAAAAGTGTGGCCAATACAAGCGACTTTACGGTAAAATATATTTTTTTAGTAACACACTTGCCTTATCTCTCCCCATGGTAAAAATAAACATATTCTGAATGGGGGCCAAAAATAGCCCAAACCATATAGATATCTATAGTTCTTTGAATCTACACCACCTAAGGATGCTTCCATATAAAAATGACCAATCAAAGCTTTGCTGTTCTTGAGAAGAAAATTTTTCAAGATTTCCTAAGTAAAATTTTGATCGGCCATTGTAGCCCCTCCCTACACCAGGAGGTCTTGACTGAACAAACTTTAATATATTCTACTTGAGGATGCTTGTACATAAGTTTCATATTTTTTGGACCAATGGAGTTTGAGAAGAAAATTTTTTTAAAGATGCCAGTAGTTTTTCAATGATTCATAATTATCTCCCCATTGAAGAAGCATGGCCATAAACCTTCTATTAAACAAAATTGAATCAACTTTACCCAGGTATACTTTGTGGCAAGTTTGGTTGAAACTGGGCCAGTGGTTTGATCTTGAGAAGAAATCGAAAATGTGAAAAGTTTATAGACAAGACAAACAGATGAACAGACAGACAGACGTCAGTCAAAATGTGATTAAAAAAGCTCACTTGAGTCCTCGGCTCAGGTGAGTTAACAAGAGGCCCAAGGGCCTTAACGGTCACCTGAGTATGATACAACAATTTAAAGGATGCATAGAGTATAAAATGAACTGAAAGGTGAAACTTTGTTGCCAAAAAGTAAGAAAAATAGGGTGATCATGATCAACAAAATAATTGGTCTTAATATTCATTAACAGTTTATAAATTATGTTCTATAAATCTGATCCCCATTTATCACTATCACCATACAGTATATTAACAAATTATCAATGCTTCTGTACTATTTTAATCCTTTGTTGAAATTTCTTACATTGGCCTCTCTTGGTCTTTGATGAACATTTAATAAGACAAGTTATTTTTGTCTCATTTTTATTTATCTACTACTTACAAGTCTATCTGATCATTAAAACTATGAAAGTACTTTTTGTATTATACAATAAAAGTTTTTGCATAATTATCTTATTCTATTTACCTTTCAAGTACATTATTTACAGTGATAAATTATCAAAAGTAAATGGCAAAGGGGAATAACTCCTCTCAGTAGAATACAAAATAATAGAGCCCTGGCCAGAACCAGAACATTTGACCAAATGGTCCAGATGTTCAAAAATCTGATAAAAATAATCTTCCTTATTAAAACATTTACTCTTTTGCCTCTGATATGCCCAGTTGCAGAGAAGATTTTTAAAGAAATAATGCATTTTTACTACAGATTCACCATATTATCAATAGAGCCCCCCCCCCCCCCCCAACATCAGAGCTTCTGACCCTGGGACCATAAGTTTGCTCATCAAAAGTAATCACTTTGTTTATCTGCTTAACACCAAGGAGCAAACAGGATTATTTAATAGAATTAATGCATTTTTACTATATTATCAAGAGCCCCACCCTCACACCAGCACATCTGACCCAGGGGTCATGAAATTCACTACTCTGGAAGAAGCACTCTTGCTCATCATAACTATACACTTAGCTTCATTGCTTTTTTAACCAGAAGCAGAAAGGAATATTTTCAAATAAATTTTGCTTTTTCACTTTATAATCAATAGAAGCCCCCCCCCCCCTCCCCCCACCACCAGAACCCTTAAATCTTGGGTCATAAAATTCACAATTTTGGAAGAGGCATCCTTGCCTATCATAACAATGTACTTAGTTTGTTTAAACAATACCCAGGGGCAGAGAAGAAGATTTTCAAAGAAATAATTCACCTTCACTACAGGATCTATATAGCCCCGCCCTAGCACCAGAACTCCTGTCCCCGGGGCCATGAATTTCACAATTTTGGAAGAGGCATCATTGCTCATCATAACAATGTACTTGGTTTGTTTGAATAATACCCAGGAGCAGAGAAGAAGATTTTCAAAGAAGTAATGCATTTTCACTATATAATCTATATAACCCCTCCCTAGCACCAGAACCCCTGACCCTGGGGCCATGAATTTCACAATTTTGGTAGAGGGGTCAATGCTTATTACAATCATGCCAACAGTTTGACTGCTTGATGTCCATGAGTAAAGAAGAAGATTTTTAAAGATTGCATTAATTTTGGTGGTTTTAGCCCCACCCCTCAGGCCCCAGGGGGGCAGGGATCATGAAATTCACAATTTTTGTTCCCCTTCACCCATAGATGCTATATGCCAAATTTGGTTAAAATTGGTTGAGCAGTTTCAGAGAAGAAGCTAAAATGTTCAAATGTTAACGCATGTCGCACGCCGACGGACAAAAACAGATAGCAATAGGTCACCTGAGTGACTCAGGTGACCTAAAAACTGAGGTCTTGTGTCATGGTAGGCATTGGCAAAATAAAAAGAACTCTCACTGCTGAATGATCCTTGGTGTCCAGTAAAGGTCTAAATTTGAATCCCTTCACTGGTATATTGTGACATCTCATATGAGCAAAAAATTTCTCACAAGGGATTTAAAAAACAAACAAACAATCCTCCATACTTACTGAACCAGCCCATATCCTTTTGATTTGTGTCATATACTTCAGTTTCTCTTGAAACTCAAAATTCTGAAATTAAATGAAAGATTCTTATTACTGTAAATGTCTTTAACTCTACTTATTTATCATTTCATGATTGTTTTTTTTTTTTTGGTGTCTTTATATATCTACTTTTTCATTTTGAAAATAGTTTAAAATTCACAAAATAATGATAATTATGATAAATTTGTTGTATATTTTGAAGAGATACAAAACAGATATTTGGGCAACGTGTCACCAGACCTTAAAAACAACGAAAGTTATTAAATTTATACATATCCAATTACTTACTTTAACCTATTATTGTTTAACAAATCTACCTTTATTTTAATTTTATACAGTTTATGTAGTGAACACATCCTGCTGAAAGACACCATTTTACTTTTTAACAGCAAATTGTCTACTGGCCAGCTATACTTTTAATTGGTGAAAGCAGAAAAAGGGAGGTAACTTTATTCATAAAAACTCCCCATATTCATCATACTGCCTTAATGTGAAAGGAGAGAAAAACATGAAAATTACAACCAACCAAATTTATCCCCTATACAGAACCCAGCAGCAGAGAAGATAATTTTCAAAGAAATAATGCACTGCACTATAAAATAGATGGAAACCTTCCTAACATGAAAACACATGACCCATGAAATTCATATTTTGGAAAGGAACCCTTGTTCATCATAACCATGCAATTAGTTTGTCTGCTTATTACCAATGGGAAGAGATTTTTAAAAAATATGGAGATAACAAACAGTATTCAAGCTCAAAGTCCATTAAAACAATACAAATCAGGAGCAGAGCAAACATGGACCTCCAAAAACATCAGAGGTGGGATCAGGTGCCATGATGGAGTGAGGATCCCCTGCTGACAGGTCACACCCACCACATGTTCCTTGTCATGATTGGTAAATAAGGGAAAGATCTGTAAACAATTCCGTGTGTAAATAATGGCCTAACAATTAGTATGGAAAACATCAGTCATATATTACTTAATGATAGATTGTATTTTCCGACAAGGTCATTGATATTCTCATTTCATCAACTTGTTTGTCAATAACTTACCTCGTTTTAGAAATTGTTCATATGTAGAGCATGCTCTTGCATATCAAATCAACTGGGAGACATAAACCCATATGCAGGTGATAAGGGCATATTGCTACATAAGTCAGGGAAGTTGATGACTGAAAAGTTTAAGTCATCACGTTTATCATAAAGCTTTGTTGTTAGATTACCACTGTCTTTTTCTAGCAAAATACCCAAATATGAGATATGTCAGACTGTCGTATCTTTTATTTAAAGCTCACTGGGATATATCATGTCGACATACAAGGGGTGATCAAAAAGTTTGCAAACTATCTCTATATTTACAAAACCATAATTCAGACCAGAATGATATTCGGCAAACATACAGTACGAGGCTTGTCCAAAAAAATCGTGGACAATGGCATTTTTGTCAAAATGAGTGGTTCAAGATATACTTACTGTATACCAAAATATATGTTATGAAAATCCAAGTCAGAATAGTTTGGTTTTAATTGTTTGAACTTAATATTTTTGTAAAAATCGCGGTCATTAAAGGTCAACGATAGTGAGCACGGACCAGGGTTAAAATGCCATAAACTTTTAAATAAAGTGTTCTGATTAAAATGATTATTTTCTTTATAAAACAAGTCAAAGCTTAATAAAAATTAAATGTGTCGCAAATAAAGTGGCTGTCTTCATTTTCTGATATGTTTATTATCGCTTTCTTAATAGACAGTGAGAATATTAAGCAAAAACCGCAAGAAGTATGTTTCAAAAATTGACAAAAAAAGCGACATCAGCATCCGAACGGGACAGTTTTACTCCATGTTTGTGACGTCACAATGTGAAAATACTGTCAATATGTAGATGACTTGTGACAAAAAAGAGGCCCAAGGGCAATATCACTCACCTGAGCACTTTGGCTAGGAAAAAGAAGAAATCGGTTCAGTTCTGAAAAGGTTAAATATAAAAGTGGTTGGGGGGAAGGGGGTTGGTATGATTTGAATAAGCTTGAATCCAAACTTTCTAAGGATGCCTTTGAATTAATATGACACATAATGGCTTTGCTGTTCTTAAGATGAAAATTTTTATTGATATATCCTTTATATTCCATTGTATATCTATGATCCCCTGTTATGGCCCCTCTTTTCTCCTGGGGGGTCATTGATTTGAACAAATTTAAAACTACATTAACTGAAGATGCTTTTATATATATTTTGACCATTCATCCTTTGTTGTTCTTGTGATGATTTTTAAAGATTTTTACTATGTAAAACTTTTATTGCCCATTTTGGCCCCAACCTACCCCCAGGGGTCATGATTTGAACAAGCTTGAATCTACACTACCCTAGGATGCTTCCAAATTAATATGATCATTCACAACCTTTCCGTTCTCGAGAAAAAGATTTTTAAAGATTTTTCCTATGTGTTGCTATGTAAAACTTTGATCACCCATTGCAGCCCCACCCTATCCCTAGGGTTCATGATTTGAAAAAAACTTGAATCTACATTACCCCCAGGATTCTTCCATATAAATATGCCCAACCATGGCTTTGCTGTTCTTGAGAAGAGGATTTTTAAAGGTTTTCCCAATGTATTCCTAAGTAACACTTTGATCACCCATTGCAGCCCCACCCTATCCCTAGGGCTCATGATTTGAACAAACTTGAATCTACACTACCCCAGGATGCTTCCATATAAATATGCCCAACCATGGCTTTGTTGTTCTTGAGAAGAGGATATTTAAAGATTATTCTTATATATTCCTCCGTAAAACTTTGATCGGCCATTGTGGCCCCACCCTACCCCCGGGGTCATGAGTTGAACAAATTTGAATCTACACTACCTCCACATAAGTTTCCTACTTTCAAGCACAGTGGTTCTTCAGGAGATTTTTAAATGATGCCATTTATTTTTCACAAAATCATAATTATCTCCCCTTGGAAGAAGGCGAGGCCCTTCATTTGAACAAACTTGAATCCTCTTTACCCAAGGATACTTTGTGGCAAGTTTGGTTGAAATTGGTCCAGTTGTTCTGAGAAGAAGATGAAAATGTGAAAAGTTTACAACAACAACGACAATGGACAAATTTCAATCAGAAAAGCTCACTTGAGCCTTCGGCTCAGATGAGCTAACAATGATACATTAGTCAAATCAATTTGAAAGCATTTCCACATAGTGTAGATTGAGGTCGATTAATGGGCCCCTCATCCAAGCATACCCTGGATGTGATAGATGAGGGACATTCTTGGAGTACAGCCTGAGGCTGAAGAGTATCAATAGCATATTTCTTGACCAATAACATGCGGGCTTGCTATTCAAAGAAATTAAAACCCATGTGACATCACCAGCATAAATACCTATCGCCTATTCCAGCATGCTAGAGGTTTACTATTGGATACTTTTGACTTGGTGCTACATGTATATAAGGAGCGTAGGGACGTTACTATCTGAGGATGCTTCCATGTTAATATAACCAATCAGAGTTTTGCTGTTTTTGAGAAAAGAATTTTTTGAAGATTTTTTCTACGTATTCAAATGTAAAACTTTCATTGTCCATTGTGGCACTACCCTACCCCAGGGATCATGATTTAAAAAAATTGACTCGAATCTACACTACCTGAAGATGTTTCCACCTAAGTTTCATTTTTCTTGGCCGAGTAGTTCTGGATAATAAGATTTTTCCAATTTATTTCCATGTAAAATTTTGATCATTCATTGTGGCCCCACCCTACCACAGGGGGTCATGATTTGAACAAACTTGAATCTACACTACCTGAGGATGTTTGCAAATAAGTTTCATCTTTCTTGGCCCAGTGGTTCTGGAGAAGAAGATTTTAAAAGAATTTTCCTATGTATTCCTATGTAAAATTTTGATCGTCCATTGTGGCCCCACCCTACCCCCGGGGGATCATGATTTGAATAAAATTGAATCTACACTACCTGAGAATGTTTGCACTTAAGTTTCATCTTTCTTGGCCCAATGGTTTAGGAGAAGAAGATTTTTCCTATGTATTCCTATGTAAAACTTAGATCGTCCATTGTGACCCCACCCTAGCCCCTGGGGGTAATGATGTGAACAAACTTGAATCTACATTATCTAAGGATCTTTGCACATAAGTTTCATCTTTCTTGGCCCAGTGGTTCTTGAGAAGAAGATTTTTAGAAGATGCCATTAATTTTTCACTAATTCTTTATCATCTCCCCTTGGAAAAAGGCTTGGCCCTTCTTTGAACAAACTTGAATCACTGTTACCCAAGGATACTTTGTGGCAAGTTTGGATGAAATTGGCCCAGTGGTTCTTGAGAAGAAGTCGAAAATGTGAAAAGTTACAAACGATGCACACCCGCACGACACACACTCTCATGACGAACAGAAAACAATAGGTCACCTGAGTGACTCAGGTGACCTAAAAAGAGGCGGATATAATAAGTGATGTACTAATCCATGCATTCTCACATGGTGGGAAAGTTGATACTCTTCAGACTCAGGCTGTACTCCAAGAATGTCCATCATCCATCACATCCAGGGTATGCTTGGATGAGGGGCCATTCTTTTCATACAGCCTTTGGCTTTTAGAGTATCAATAGCATGTTTAAAGAATTGACAATAAATTAATCAAAACATTTATTTGGAAAAATCATCATATCAATCAATCACAGCTTAATACACCATTCATATAAGAATTAGAATCATTATCTTGAATGCCTCTGAAATAAATTTCCTCTTTGATGAGGACCAGTCTCCAGTCTTCAGATATTTGCTAATGAAACACCACATTTCAGAGCTGCAAAAGATGATGCTGCACGAATTGAATGTGCCTTAAAAGTACTTGTGTCTATTCCTGCACTTTCCATAACACACTTAATCCACCTAGCTATACATGTAGTACTTGTGGAAACTTTATTGAATGTTTTAAATGAGACAAGAAGTTGGTTGCATTTTCGAAATTTACTTGTTTTTTTTTATATTCCTGTAGAGTACACACAACACAAAGTTTTTCATCCTTG